CCGTGGCAGATGGGGTCTCTCCGGGATTAATTAAGGATCATAACTGTGACCTAGTTAGCAGCTGGCGCTGTCGGTGCCACCGGSCTGGCCGAGAGCCGCTTTCCCTGGTCCGCTGTGCTGCTCGCCCTGCCTGTCCCCCCGGCGCTGCCTCCGGGTGGGATCACGCTGCATCCATTCCCTGATAGCTCCTGCCCTCGCTGTGAGTAGGTGCCTCTGCAGGGCGCCCATGAGGTGTGAGGCTAAATGTGCCTCCATGTGTCCTGGTGCTGTCCCTCGTTGGGGGAGATGGAAGCTCCTCGTGGCTGGAGATGGAAGAGGATCGGATGCAAGATGAGGGAGGGTGGTGCTGGAGACACCTTGAGATGCTCCGTTTCCATGCTGGGCTCCTTGGGCCAAAGTGTCGCTGCAGGGATATGCCTGGGTGTCTGTTCTCTCAGGGCTGCTCAATCCCTTGGAGTTTCCAGTTGGTGGGTCATGGCTTTGAGCCTGCAGGAAGCTGCCGGCAATGGAGCAGAGATGATTTGGGAGGTAAATGCAGACCAGAGCTGTCTTCTCCTGTGGTTAAGTGGCACCAAGGGGATGGCGGTGGWGACCTTCTCCCTTCTTGCACCCATGGGACTGCAGTGTCCCCCTCGTGTCTCCTTTGTGCTCCTTTCTCTTTGCAGCTTGTTTGGTGAGAGGCGGCACCGCACAACCCACCGGCCGTGGGGAGGCTGCAYGTGGCGCTTCACGGGTGATGTGAGGAGCACCTGAGGCTCCCCATGGTCCCYGCTCCCCACAGCTCCTCCTTAATAAGCCTGAGGTTCTGCTCAGGGGTCTGGGAGCGTCCCCACTGGGATCCTGCTGGTTTCCACTAGGAAGCGTGGGGCTGTGGAGGCGGCTGTTGGATAGGCCCCCCGGGAAGCAGGAGCACACGTGATGCGGGGGCTGCCTGGCTTTTCTTCCTCGCCTCTGAAAAAACCTCTCGTGTTCCAGTGACCTGTTTATTATGTAGGTCACTGCCAGCTGGAAGGAGAAAAACAGTTTCAAAACAGGTGAAACCTAATAGGGCTCCTCTAGTCAGCGGCCCTTTCTGGATAAGGGCGGAAGGTTCCCTGTGGGCGGGTGGGATCCTGGATGGAGCCATCGGTGGGAGAAGGCCCTGGAAGCAGGATGGCTCTCCAGGAGCTGGTAAGCCCAGGGGCTAGTGCACAAAGGAGCAGGCAGGACTTGGCTCCTGCTGTTAGTGGACCCAGTTTTTGTCCTTTSATGTCTCGGGCTGGGTTTGGGGATGAGGAGGTCAGTTCTCACCTTGGGTGTTTGTTTCCCGATCGGTTTTGCCTGCTGGAGACCTGTGCCATGCGTGGTGGAGGAGTCATCCCCACTGGGAGATGAGTCTGGGCAGTCACAGATGACAAGGGGGCACAGATCAGGTAAATATGTCTGGATGCCAAGAGTAAAGCTGGGACCAAAACCCATCGGAGTGCTGTGCCGGTGCCGTTACCTAGGGCTGCCCTATTCCCTTTCGCGCAGCGGAGCCGACACCTTGCGACACCCACCAAGAAACCGTGGCCTTGGTGCAACCCCCGTGTGTGACCTGAGCAAGGACACACTGCTCTGCAAACGAGAGCTTYGGCCAAGTCCAGCTTCGCTCACGCCTCCCTGTGTTGCCAAAACTCTGCTACGTACCCCTTGGATAGCTTCGTTTGTTCTTCTTATCCCTTATCTATCAGCTGGGCTGCAGACACTGTAAGCCGCCCACTCACCCTTTCCCATCTAAACAGTCCTGCAGTCTTTGGGTGGGAGGATGACTGATCTTTTTTGCAGAATGTAGTTTCTTGTGGAGCTGCTTTATTTAATTTACACACCCCTTTTCTGCAGYTATTTACCTTCATTTCACATCAGCGTACCCCGTGCTCTCTGCATACAGCAACATCTCCGTTGCTCTCCTCTGAGTCTCATGGGCTGCTGCTAAACCGAGTCTAGGTCTTGTGTTGGGACAGAAAGCCAAGCTTTTTCTGACACAGCTGATGCCTCTCCTGTATRTGAGTCCTTAAGTCAGAGCTGTGTGACTCCCAAGGCATGGCCTCTTGCTCGTAATGTTTATCAGCTGCAGGCAGCCCTGCTTGTCTTATCAGGCCGCAATAAAAGAGAATGAAGGCCACCCTTTGGGTTGGGGTAGGAAGCCATATACCCTGTGAACTCGCCTGACCTGCCTGATGTATTCTCCCTCRAGGCGAAGGGATGGCTCCGAGCCTTGTGTGTCCACAAGGAAGAGGGCATTAGGAAGTCCAGTTCCTGTTTCCAGCACCATTGGTGGCAGCAAGTAGCTACCCAAGACCGTGAACCTCTTCTTTGGGTCATGGCTAGGGAGARCCTTCAGTTTTCCACACCTGCCTGTCTGGGGTTTGTGTCCAGGAGATGGTGGAGCTTAACTAAAGGGTTATTGGTCTGTGATCAAAACGTTTTGACCTCTGATCRACTGAGCCTGCTCGTGTGAACCTCTCTGACTCCAGAAATTGGTGAGGCCATAAATTCAGCAAGATGGAGCACCTGGCTCAGGTTATTAAGTGGGAAGCAGGGCTATGTTATGGTGGATGGTGTTGCTTTCCTGAGGCTTAGAGCAGTCCCGAGGTTTTGGAGGCCAGATTGACACCTACGTGAAGCAAGTCAGGGCTCTTGCCCCTCCTCAGAAAGCATCAGGAGCTGCTTTGTGTGGGACAYGAGGCCTCACAACACTCTTGGGACTTGACTTTGTGCAACGGAGGAGTCTGCAAAGGTCTGTGTAGCCTGGGGCTCTGCTCTGCTTTCTGTTGCGAGAGCAGACTGCTCCTTTGCTCAACTTGGGCTGGCTCATCTCAAGATAGGTCTGAGAGATTTTTATTGTAGATTTTCACCCAAACCACAGGGTGACAGTTTAACAGTTACTATAGCCTCAGCTGTTGCTGGTCCTGGAGCAGCTGTGTTGAGACACAGAGGGTCTCTACCGGAGTAAACACCAGCGTTGCTCCTGGATATCGATCTGGGCTGGTAAGAAGCCCCTCTGTAGTCCTGGAGTGCCGCTCCAGGAGCRGCTCAGCTCCAGGAGCAGCGCGTAGCCCTCCAGACTACAGCTCTTGTGCTGGGCCAGCCCGGCAGAGCAGCTGCAGGGTCCCCGGCGTGCGCGGGGGCCGCAGCGGCTTCGCGGCAGCCTGACACGGCGCGCGGGGCCGAGAAAACAGAGCAGTGTCACAGCGCGGATCAGCAGCCCATTTACCCGGAGCTGCGGCCGCTCCGGCGGTGCCAGGCAGCCCAGCGGCGCCGCGGGCTGCCGCATAAAGGGCTGCCTTTGCTCCCGGGACAGGAGGCTTCGTGCTGGGCATCAGCGGCTGGTTAGTGTTCGCAGGAGAAGAACAGGGCTCCGGATTCGGACCAGAATCTTTGCCTGCTGTTTGGGTGTTCAGAGCTGGAGAGCTTGTAGCTGGAGCATGGTGGTTCAGGCTGTTTGGTGTGCAGGTCTGTGGGAAGTGAGGAGACAAGGCCACRCGTGTGCTGCACCGAGCGGTTGCTGATGCTCTGCTTAAAACTTGTTTTATTTATACTTGCTTGTATTGCATTTGGGCTCTGAAGGGATTTTTGCTAGACTCTCTTCTGTTGTGTTACTTGCTGTTGGTTTCTTTTGCTCTGTTTTAAACCGCACTTCATAATGACAAGCGACTTGCCAAGAGAGCTGTGCTGATTATCTGCCGGTGGCCTGACGTGGTGGCCGCCTTCAGGGAAAGCAAGAAGGACAACAGGGCTTCTAAAGGTGCCTGTAGGATTCCTGTAGCTGCACAGTCAGAGGACAGAGGCCTAAGAGGCCATAACAGACTCTGATCTAGCAGCTACGAGGGGAAAAATACATTGAATCTATAGGAGATGAGGCAAGCRCAAGCAGGAGGACTTGCCCTCGCATCCAGGTTGCTTCCTCCCTGGATCACGGGCAGTCCCTTTAGACCCGGTATCTTTGGGCTGATGAGAAGCCGATGACTTGGCTTGTGTTGTCACCCCTGCCCGGCCTGCCYGTGGCTTGTGAGTCACTGTTTATTTACAAAGAGCGCACGCAARCGCCCTGCGCTCGGGGTGCTGCGCTGAGCGACGGCTCCGCGGGCATCGTGCTGTGCCCGGCCACGCGACGCTGCCACGCAGCAAAGTCGAGCAGCCCTCCTACCCGGGAAGGAGCTGAGCCCCGCTGCGGCCTCCCGTTCCTCGTTTAGAGCTGCCTTGGGTCTCTCCGTGGCCTTGTTTTGAGGCAGAAACAGGGAATAGCTGCACAAGCTGTTTRGCTGGAGGGGAAATGAGAGTGTGTCTTTACTGCAGCAAGGAACGGCTCCAGGAGCTGTTGAATAAGCAAATAAAGAGCAATTGCTGTAACTCCAACCAGCAAAAGCATGTTTTTTCAATAGCACGGTAGCCCACGCTGGAGATGTGTCAGAAAATCTATTCCAGTGCCGTCCTGAGCTAAGATGAGCAGCAAAAGGTTGGCACGACTAGTTTTTGGGCTAGCCCAAGACAGCCAGAAGTCTGTTCAGGATTAATATTAATGAGCAGTGACGGAAGGTTCTCCTAGTTCTCCTCTTTGGGTCGTTTTTATCCATGATGTCAACGATTGCAACACGAGTGTGACTAATATAGGGCTTTATCTTAGAGGCCTCTCTCATCTGAGGTTAGGCTGTTTGTTTGTGCAGGGTGTTGTAATACTCCCCAAACAAGAAGCAGAACAGCCCTGTGCGGAGGTGGCTCTTCCCCGAAGATGGTGGCCTGTSTTCTGCTCGGGAGGACAGAAGGAAGAGCTGAGCACAGAGACAGCAAGCCTGTAAAATCCCACAGCTCTGGGCCAGCTTTGCTTTCTGTAAATAAAGCTAAGGCTCAACACACTGAGAAGCACAGGGAAAAGCACTGCGTTGCATCCTCGAGTCCACACAATGCGTGAGTGGGACCAAAGGTCCATCCAACGAGCAGACACCAGGGGACGGCTGCGTGTGCTCTGCTGCCGGGGAGCCCGGAGCCCTCCGAGGAAGCTGGGCACACAGACCTGCTGGACCTGCTCTCCAGCAACCTGCCGAGCTCTGTGCGGGCTTGCCCAGGCCAGCTCCAGCGCCTGGCAAGGATTGGGACAGCTCCGTATCCTTTGGAAAGGGACTTTCTTCAGGGGCTGATGTCAGCTGYGCTTTCTTGCCCTTTGAACTCTCAGGTAGCATATCTCATTGCACGGTGATAAAACCTGCCAGTCTTTTCTGCAGCTCGCTTTGGAGGCRTGAAGCTTCCTCTTGGCTGCGTTTTCAGCGGTGCCAGTAACTTGTTCCTGACATATTTTGTCGCTGTGTAAGTATTTGTGGCAACTGGGTTATGTTGGAAGGGGTTTTATTTTTTGTTTTCTCCCCTCTGAAGGTCAGGACAGTTGCAAATGAAATGGCCTAATACTCCCTATGCCAGTGCCTTAGTGTTTTGTGCAGTTTTTAATAAACATTTATTAGAAAAAATAAGCAGAATCTTTCAACAGAACTCAACAGGAGCCAACAGGTGATGGGCTCTAGTCAGAGCAGGGCTCAGCTAATTCCTCTGCTTGGCAGAGTTACTGTCTTCTCCCAGTGAAGCCCTTGCTTTGAAATAGAGCTTGGTTCTGTGCTTCATGTTGCGTGATCCCATTTGGAGAAATCCATAGGCAGCGCCAGTGGGATATGCGGATAAATACCGGGTGCAGGCTGAGCAAGAGGGCTTGTTCCTGTCTCCCTTTGGGCTGGATTTGGGGCACGTTTTGTCTCCCCTTCCAGCATGTTTGTAAAGCAGGATATAACATCACTTGCTTTGGTCTTTGGAAGGTTGAACAAAACAGAAGGCAAAAAGCCAGCCACTTAAAACACATTCCTCAGCTGGTGACTGGAAAAACTTCCTACTTCAGACGGAGGCGTCCGCTGTTTGCACTGCTCGTGCTGCTGGCAGGGTGATGGGCTTGGTTTGCGTCACTTGGTTTCAGCCTGACCTTTACGTTTTGGAGAGGGCTGATAAACTGTCCCTTCCTCCCAAGGATCCTCAGCTCCAGCTGCTTCCCGCATTCGCAGCAGTGGATAAAAAAGATTTTGTGCGCTGGAGCAAGGTACAGTGATACGGAGGAATTCACTTGTTCCTGATAGGGCACGATTTATCTCTTGGGCGTGTTGCAGCTGTGGCATTGAGTTGGAAGGCAGAGGCTGCAATGACTCTGCTCCCAAAAAGGGAGGGAATTGGACTAGGAAATGTAGGGGCTAAGTAGCTTGTAGTGGAAGAGAAGGTCTGAGCGGAGAGGAGGACCTGCACCTCAGAATCACTCACAAGAGCACATCTCAAGCTCAGCTATATCATGTTCTACATACACCTGCAGCATGCTCTTTTATTATTATTTCTTTTGCTTTTATTTGTCCATCTTCCCGAGACACCAAGTTCCTTTTCTCCTGTCTCCTTTCCCAGAAGAAAAAGGGTCAAGTCTGAACTTTATCAGCAGAATATCCTCCAGCTTCCCCTTCCCTGGCTTCTAATGCAGCGCTAAAGCTCTTCTAGTGCAGCCCAATGTGTTTGGAGAGACACACGTGCAGATATCAGCCGTTCTGTACAGGCAGCGGCACACAGCAACGTTTGTGCTGCTCTCTTGTGCTGCTCGTGCCTCTCCCTGTCGACAAGTTCTTCGTTCATTGGCACAATAAAAGCACTGGGGTTCACTTCCAGCTGCAAGGCAGATTTTGGGCTGCACGGGGGGTCCTTGATCACAGGTATCTAAATGCTGGCCGGAATGAGCTTCRTGGATATCGTGCCACGGCCCCGAGTACTGGGTCAATACAGCTTGTCACGCATGCGAAGCTGGCTCAGGAAAAGCTGCTGACAGCTCCTCACATTCCCAGAGGGCACTTGAGGGCAAACTGCCTCTTGCAGCCCCTTCCTCCTCTTGTCAGGTGCAAGAAATGAAAGCCAAAGTGAGCTCCTGCAGAGGCAGGGAGCCCCAGCTTGTGGGGAGGGAGCGTGTGGGGAGTGTTGTATAATGCCCTGTGGCTGTTGCAAAGGTTAGGAGGGCCCGAGGGTGTGGGGAATTGTGTGCTGGGCTCCTCTGAAAGGTGCAGTGCAGCTCCACGTGGTGAGAGGAAAGGACGCTCGTCCATCACGAGCTCCTTACTCATTTCTGCTGCACGAGAAGCTTATTGAGGTGACTGCAAATCATTGTGCAGCTCATCTGTCTTTAGAGATGGGAGAATTGTGCTTGATTCCTTAAARAGAAGACTGTGCAGTCAAAAATTARGACYTTTCTCTTGGATCACAGGTGGGCCAACATCCAGCTGCTTTCCCTCGCTTGCACCCCTTTCTCCAGCTCGGTTGTGCATTGCCTTCCTGCTGCAGCRTGGGGAGCAGGAGGACACCCCGTGTGGAAGTGACACCCTGGAGTAGCCTGGGCTTGAAAGGCTGGAAAATGCAGCTCCTGGAGCTGTGAACTGAGCTGAAGGCATCCGTAAGCAGAGATAAAAGCAGTAATTGCCCTAGGAAATGCTGAAGGAGAAGCTGGGCCTGCAATGACTCTATGATGGAGAAGTGGGGGCAAATGTATTGAATCTTTCAGCATGAAAAGGCAGCAAACGCGATAGAGGTTTGGTCTTGTCTTGCAGTCTCTTCTGGAGGTGTTGACTGGCCATTCCCCTCCACAGGGAATGGGAATTGTGTGGAAAGGATAGCAGAAAATGTACATGGGTCTCGGGAGGAGCAAGGTCCATGGGTACACAGTGTCAGGACAGGGAGCAGGTTTGTTTGTCTGGGCTGACCAAGTTACTCTAGAAAGCTCTGTGTTCTTCTGCCCATGTGGCTTCATGTGGAGCCTTTTTGCTCTTCTTATGTAATATTTTCCTTGGAAACTTTATGCCCTTTAGGAGGGACAGGTTGATGCTGTCCCCTAGGCTGCAGGTTTAATACGCAGACTTCAGATGTCTCGGGACAAAGATTTTCCATAAGACTATGGACGTCAAAGCTAAGACTAAGTGTGCTAGGAAAGTTGTCCAGTGTAAATGCCAGGCCTTTTAGGAAAACCGAGCTAACGATTAACCCCCCCGCAGTGCCTGGTTCAGCCCAGCGATCAAAGTTTTTTGTTAATGAGCCTTGCAGAGGGCTGAAGAGCTGTGAGCAGGTCCCTGCAGCCCTGCTCAGGCTGAGAACACGCTTGCACGGCTGGTGTGAGGCAAGGGGTTGTTGGACCGTGCCCGTTGCTTGCTCTGCTTGGGTCTGTCCTGGTGGTGGGGTCTGTGTGTCCCGGCCATGCGTGGATGGGAAGCGAGGACCCGAGGGCTCCGTGCCGCCCGGAACRGGGTGCTCTSCGTCCCAGCRGCGCTGGCCTCGGTCCTGTGAACCTGCCTGGCCTTTGCCTGGCGCTCCGCTCTGCCCTTTGGGTCCYGGGTGGATGCACTTGCGTGCTCGGKGTGCCCTGAACCGCTGTCACCGACGGGAGCGCATGGGCTGCGAGCACTCGCGTGGCCTTGCTCCGCGAGCCTGGCACAGAGCYTGTTTGCTTAGCGAGCACCCAAGGTTAAATAAAAGCTAAATGTCTCCAGAGTCAAGCTGTTCTGGACTTGGCCTGTAACACAGGGAAGGGTGAAAACGGTGCAAATCTGGCTASAAGAAACAGCTGCACAGCTGGGGCCATGTGTGTGCAGCAGTATTTTGAAGGTGGTTTTGCTCTACCTTCATTTAACGGGGTTGAAGATCTGTCAGTGACTCAAGACACTAGGAGCAGTGCAACTGGTCTRAGATGGCTCCATAGGGGCCCAACAAAGAGCTCGGCCTGGGAAAGCCGCTGCTGGGATTCAGGCTGGGTCCAGCCTTGGGGACTTCTCCTTCGCATCCTTCTCCTTTAGGCCAGTTTGGGAAGCAGATGTGTGTGAGTTCCCTATGGGGACTGCAAAGCTTCACCAAATGGTGCCAGCACATTGTGCTCGGGGAGACCTGCAGCTCCATGTCACCGTGTCCCCATCCCCTTCCCTAGCACTCCAACTACCCAGGTGAACAGTGAGGGCTGTAGAAATCCTCTTGGAAGGCCAGGCCTCCAAGAAAAGATCCCTGGGATCCAGGGAGGAGCAGGTGGCTCCGTCAAGCTCTCTGTGGTGTCACTCAGCCGGCTGATGGGACCTTCCTCCCTGTTCACAAGGCTCTGATAACACCTAGGGCAGCCTGGTGACCTTTGCTTCCTCTTTAAACTCGGGTGGCTTTTGCCTCATTGCCCCTCATTAACGAGCAGCAAAGATCAGTTCTGATAGCAACAGGTCTGCTCCCCTCCCTGCTTGCACGGGATCAAATCTCTCCATGGCTGCTGGATCGAAAGCTAAGGATCTCCCTCCACTATCACAGCTCAGCAAGTGGCTGAGCTGAAACTGTTTTTATTTAAGTAGAAATCCCACAAAATATGTACAAGTCCAGTGTGTTTAACAACTTATTGAGCAGAAGAGGGGCAGTCTGTGTTGGTGTGTCTTGGGATGAACTTAATTGTGAGCTGTGCCCAGCCCCTCCTGCTCCTGGGCAGGGCATAAACTGCCCCCCAAGCAGAACTTCCAGGATTTCTGAAGGGATTTGGCCTCGCCAAGAGACTCCCGTTTGGAGGGAATGATCCCAAAATGGCCCCGCTTCCCTGTGCGAGCCTTCTGTGGTGCGGGCTCCCGGCAGCGCAGGCACAACGGGAGCCCAGCACAACCCCTCCCTCCCTCCGGAACCGCTTCCACGGGAAGCGTTCTCCCAGGGAGCCGTTTCCTCAGGCTGAGGCGAGCGCGGGCGCCCCGCGAGGCGGCGCCGTTTCCCGCTCTTCGCGCCGCGCCTGCCCCTTTAAGAGCGGCGACCGTTAGGAAGGGCGGGAGCGYGGGTGTCATGGCGGCCGCCGGGCGGGTGAGCGCCGCGCGGCTCCGTGGGTCTGGGCAGCGGGGCCCGGTTCGAGTCCCGCTCGCGGGACGTTTAATTTTATGTAAAACTCCCTGTTTCAAGGTGTAGCGGAGGGGAGGTGGCGTTGGAAGGCGGAGGCCCCGCTGGAAGTGGTGAATCCCCTTGGAGGAGCCGGGCGGGCCACGTCCTCCCTCGTCCTGAGGCTGCCGCGGGCTGGCCTGCCTGCAAGAGCTGTCCTCGCCGGGTGCTTCCTGCAAGGAGCTGCTTATCCCGCTCCCTGCGTCATGGTAAGGGAGCCTGCCTCGTTTTGTGCCTCTCGGGGATTTCATGGCACGGGAACCGGGCTCACTTTGTGCCTCTGGGATTGCAGAATCCATCTGGCACCGCTGTGAAAAACACAGGAGAAAACCTTGGTTCCCTTGGAGCATATCAGCTCAGGTTTGGGGAGGAGGAACCTCTAAACAGTCCTGGGTTAGTGTGGTATGAAGAGCTGATTTATTTAGCTTGTCACAAAAATAAAATGCTTTTGTTGTGCAGAGGTAGTTCTTAATCTATAGTCACTCAACATTATTATTATTATTAGGATGATCCATCCTTAGAGAGACACTTCAAAGGCCACAGAGATGCTGTCACTAGCGTGGACTTCAGTCTCAATAAGAAGCAACTGGGTAAATCCTCTCTCTGTTTTGATGGGCTGGAAATAAAGAAAGAATGTCACGGTTAATGGAGGTTACTGTGAAGGTACTGTGTTATAAAGGACAAAAAATAAGCCCATTTATCTTGTACCACCTGTCTTGCACTACATGCTGTTGTTTTTATTGTTATCTGCACTACATGCTGTTGTTTTTATTGTTATCTGCTATCTCTTTCTTTCTACTGCCCCTGTTTTTACTTGTAGAGCAGTTATTCATTTTGCATGGGTGGCTGTGTCTGTGGATCCCTGAATGTTTGTCCAGAGGGCACAGGGATGGTTTGAGTGCAGTTCAGCACTGCTCTCCATCGGCCTTCCAGAAGCAGCATGTGGGTCTTGGTTTCCCTTTACTAGACCRTGAAAGTATCTTAGTATTCATTATCCGTGAGCTCCAGTAAGAAAGGAAGCAAATTCTAAGAACTGTTTTTCTGTAGCTACTATTACATCAGTCACTTAAACTTTTCTTATGATGTTTTATGGTTTTTTATTTTCATTTTCTATCCCTTATCACCTCCTAAAATAAACCAGCCAGACCTAAGCAACTAGCTCTTTGTTACTCTGTTAGATTATTTGCTGAATTCAGTAATGATAATAGTTATTGTCAACATGTCATGTCTAACCAGCATCCTACTTAAGTGCTTGTTTAAGATGGTAGAACGTTATTTGCCTTAAGTTATGTAGCACTGAAACCAGGGCAGCTGTCACGCTGTAATTTAGTATCTTCACCAGTGTGTAGTTGTAACTAAAGTTAAATGTCTTGATACTGTCTCCCTGTAAATCTTGCAAATTGTAAAAAACTGTAAATCTTGTAAATCTTAAGGAAAGGAAAGATATAAGGAAAGGGAGGGGGGRAAAAARCCTCAAGTGACAAATAGATAAGTTTTATCTTTTCCCCCTCCCCAGGGGATGTGTGTAATGAATGACCCGGTTTGATAAGGACATATATTAATCCTGAATCAATGACAGAAAAAGAGATAACTATTATTTCTGTCTCAAAATGACTGTGAAATAAAGGAATATGTCCAGCAAAAGCTATTTGGTATTTTGCCATAAAGCTAATGAACTGAAATCTCCTCATAGTTATTATAYTGCAGTATCAGAACCTACCATCAATTGGTGCTTTCTTTCCTTGAAGCATTTTAAGCTCCCCCTGGACTTATGCCTTGGCTCTTGGGCAGAGCGCTACAGATGCAGCCTTGGTTTGTTGAAGGCTAAGATGAGTATAAGGTGAAAAATCTACAAAGTTTTCTGTTATTTAGGCATAGAAGTGATTTCAAGTGGTATTTTTACCCTCCCTGTTTCTGGGACTTGCCATATAGCATTTTTCTCTTTAAGTTGCCCTGGTCTATACTTGCTCTTTGCAAGTCACTGGGATGCCTGTGTTGCCCATCTGCACAGCRTAGCAGACTCTGGGAAGAGCAACTCCTCAATTACCTCCACCCTGAGTTGGTTGTGGAACCTGAGCTGGGGAATTTTAGACTTAATGAAGTTAGATTTAGCCTTTGTTGATGATTTGGGGTAAGTTATGCTTGCTGTGAGTGTAGCATGTGCACTGCCTTTTGCTTCATGTRCAACCCTTTGCTTCTGCTGCTGAGGGAGAACTTGGAGCAGCCCCCTCTGTCCCAGGGGACAGTGTTGCTCCCAAAAGTTGAGTCTGTTCTCTGGGATTTTCCTCCAGCCTCTTCTCTCCTGCATTTGGTCCCTTCTGCTCTCTGGCCTTTGCATTCAAAGCAGGTCCCTGCTCTGTTCCAGCCCTTCCTCAGGAGCACAGGAATAAAGGCAAAGTGCAGATAGCAGGCTGTTATTACAGGTGAGGATAGAAGTAGCCAGAAGACACATCCGGTAGCCACTACCCACATCCAGAAGACTGGATGTGAGTAGGATGATGTGGGTAGATGGACTGCTTCTCAGTCCCAAAGAACAACTATGAAATAACCATCTTGCTTGTGTGGTTCCTCAATGTATTTTTTTTTAGAAGTTTTGCAGTTTCTGTGTGACGTCTGCCTCTGTGACYGTGGCATGAACTGACTTAGCAGTAGCAATGTCGGTGCAGCCCAGTCTGTGACTCTGGTCAGATCCTAACGAGACGTGTAACATGCAATGTGTTAATGAGGTTTAGTGCTCGAAGGACAAAGTGCTTGAGATTGCTGGAAGCTGTGAAGCTGACTTGAGTGTGAAAAATAGCTAAAGAGTAATTGGAGAAGAACTAACACAAGCTTGTTTTTCTGTATTTTTTTTTTCTTTCCATTTTCAAATCAGCAAGTGGCTCGATGGATTCGTGCTTGATGATCTGGAGCATGAGACCTCAGATGAGAGCCTATCGCTTCATGGGCCACAAAGATGCAGTGATGTGTGTTCAGTTTTCACCCTCTGGTCACCTCGTGGCTTCAGGCTCTAGAGATAAAACAGTTCGTTTATGGGTTCCCAGCGTGTAAGTATGCGTTATGTTTAACTGTGGCCTGAGATTTCTCCCTGTTTCTTGATAGCAGTTGTCCACATCTGGAATTGGGAGTTGTTTAAAGGAGAGGTAACTTGGTCTTGAACAAGAGTGGAAAAAGAAACCAAAATCCTTTGCGATATTAACTTTTGCTAATGTAAGGACTAATTTAATCTAACTTAGCAACAGCTGTTTAATGCTTCTTCCCCTCCCTTCCTTGTCTGTTGTCTTAGCAAATTGCAAGAGTTTGGTTGGTTTAATGAAATAGCGCTAAGTCCTTGATAATCATTAGCTGAAGGATCTTGTAAGTTGTGTTGTTCCAGTCCACATTGTTGTGTTTTGCACGATATATCTTTGGCAAGGAACATTTAATTGAAATACAAAACAGTCAGGAGAGAGCTGCAAAAAAAGACACAAAAGTTAGTAGCTTAGCTCTTGAGCGTATTCTTCTTGAGAAAGTTGTGCCTGTTGAGAAATCACATTTTCAAGCAATGTCCCTATCAGTCTATACAGAGAAGCATTTGAAGAAAAGATTCCTAAGCTGCTTAAATGGCATTTGTTACCYGTTCATGGAATTACTGAGACTTGAAAGCCAGTGCAGTGAAGGAACTGAAAGCCTGTGGTGTATCACRTTAGTTCCTGCTAGAACAAGTGAAGGCACAAGTTACAAAGGGACAGAAAGGCTCTCCCTGGTGTTTGCAGAAGTGCAAGCTCAAGTTTCGAGGAGTGACATGTACATAGCCCATTTAGGGGGCAGGACTTGGTTTCTGAAGGCTCTGACATCTTGCRGTCCCTTTCAAGGGCAGCAAGTTAATGCCATCTCATGTGGGGATTTCGCTTATTTCAAGTTGTATTGGGCTCCAGCAGCCGACTAGAACAACGTTTCAGCTGTTTGTTCTGAACCAACTCTTGGAACTATATAGACTTGAATATCTTGCTTCCTAATGTAAGCATATAGATTTCCAATAGAATAGTTTCTAATAGTATAGATCAGCATACAGAAATGTAATGTTTTCATGTACAAAGTGTCTTTGCTGTCTTGTTCTGCAGTTTCAACATTTATATTTTTTGTCCTGATCAGCAAAGGAGAATCCACTGTGTTCAAAGCTCACACGGGAACCGTCAGGAGTGTTCATTTCTCCAGCGATGGCCAGTCCTTGGTTACAGCTTCTGATGATAAAACCATCAAAGTGTGGACAGTTCACAGACAAAAGTTTCTATTCTCACTTAGTCAGCACATAAACTGGGTTCGCTGTGCCAAGTAAGTACAGATTGCTGACAAATAGGAGTGATTTGTCATTTGAAGTCAAACATGATGGTGAATTTGTGTAATGTGACTACTTAGACTACTTAGACTAATTCAGATGTTCTTGTTGCCTGAAATACATTGCTAAGTGCAGAGATCCCTCAGTTAATGGTTATATAGCCATTTTGTATTTCTTTGATGATCTTTTCTAAAGCACAGTTTCCTGCTTAGATATTTGATCCTTTTTTAGTTARTTGAGAATTTAATATATCAAAATTGCTGCAGAAGCCAAAGAGAAGGCCTATACAATCTCAGTTTGGTTACTGCCAGGCTTGTTGTGCYTCTCTTGAAAAATGATTATCTGTGCTTATTGCCTTCCTTTATATTGAGGAGGAGGACACTTATGAGAATGTAAAGATAATCATCTGCAAGCATTTTGATATGTGAAGTTATTCATTGTACACATTCACAAGGACTGCCTAATGATGGTCTTTGGTTATTCTAGCAATGAACAGAGTGCATAAAATACTGGAAGTGCTGCCAAATTGAAGCATTTTATTCCTGTCAGCTCCTAAAAACTTGGTTTTCAAGTATCCATCTCAGATTTCTGAGGAACGTTTATGTATGTGTGTGTTTAGAGTAAAGACACGTTTTTTCTTAGGTGATCAAAATTTAGGTCTCCTGAGAGTTGCAGTGGTCTCTGGTGTCCTCTTGTGTATGGAAGTTTAAGATGGGAGCTTAATACCTTCTTTTGAGGCACTAAAGTGATGTAACTTACCCTGCTTTTGCTGCTCTCTTGGGAGTAATTGTTCTGAATACTTTTGGCAAACGCAGGAATTTTGAATCAGGGTATTGAAACAACTTGAGAAGCACTTAGATTAAGTGGTATGTTAGGAGATCTTAAGTGAGACTGAAGACTTCTGTGAGGGTCATGTAATACATTTGTAGACTTAGGATAGTTAGAGGCCTTACAGGTTGTTTTCTTCCTCAACCTATGGCAATTGTAGTCACACTGAAAGCAGTGTGATTGTTGTAAGAGTGAGGTTTGTTTCCTGGCATGATTTGACAGTTTTCCAAATCCATTTAACCCATTGCACTTTTTGTTGTGCAGTTTTTGAGTGCTGTAACTTTTGTCCTAGGTTCTCTCCTGACGGACGATTAATAGTGTCAGCCAGTGATGACAAAACTGTGAAGCTGTGGGATAAAACGAGCAGAGAATGTATACATTCCTTCTGTGAGCACGGTGGGTAAGTACCTGCCTGGTCGCAGCCCTGCTGTCTTTTGAGTGACAAGTTCTCTCTTAGAATTAGTTTAAGGTAATAACAGAACAATGTGGGTTTTGTATGTGCTGGTCTAGAAATACTGTTAAGTGAAGATCATGTATTATGTAGATTTTTAACACTTGAGAATGTTGTTAACAATTGAACCCATCACAGTTTTTAATCTACAACTACAATTGTAAAGTAAAACTTTCAAGATAGATCTGTTTAGATGTGATCCTATGTTCTACTTAGTGCTCTAAGCAAGGGCTTGAAAATGCTTCATACTGCGAAGTCCCTTGTAAGTAATTTCCTCCTTTCTATCATGTTCAATGTACTAAGAAATCCCTTCACTCCTTGAAAAGATCTTTTCCAATCTTAAGCAAGCATTGAATGTAAATCATTGGGTTTAACTGCAATTTACAGGTTTGTGAATCAYGTGGATTTTCATCCCAGCGGTACCTGCATTGCTGCAGCTGGCACAGATAACACAGTGAAGGTGTGGGAYGTGAGGATGAATAGACTTCTCCAGCATTATCAAGGCAAGTTAAGATCTTGGGAAAAAAATTCTCATCTTTCCATATTTTAATGGAAATATTTTAATTTTTTAAACCAAAAAATGAAGAAAAAAAAAAAAAAAAACCCACCACCCAACACTGCAGCCGGTCATTCTTGCTGCAAAGACTTTTAAGGATGCTACAATATTTTATAAATCCATGCATTCTCAGGCACTATTTTTGGTACGAATGGCTTATTCTTAATTTTCTGTTAGCTTTTCATGTAGGCCTCTTCCAGCATATTAGTAAATCATACCAGAGGTAAGGGTTGGAGCTTGGTATCTTGTTYTTTCTGCCATCTCCACATCAGATAACATCAGATTGGGAGCTCTTGTTGCTGCAGCCATCCAGCAGGATGCTGGGCAGAAAAAAGCAGAGTAGCAGCTTAGTTGGTAGTTGAATCTTTCTGACTTGGTAAGTTCAGAGGCAAAAATGGAGCTCAAATTTAAAGCTCTTGATCCTGGCTTTATATAATTCTTTTTGAAGTGCTTTAGATGATACGTGTGTCTTTACTCATTCAGGCAGTGGAGGAATTTGCATTTTCTTTCAGTGTAAGTTCTCTAGTTTCTCTCTATCCTGACACAGAGGGCAGAGTGAAACGYAGCTATGTCCGAAAAGTAGAATTCTGTTTGTGTTCCCTTACAGTGACCTRTGAAAGACTGGACCTCTTGGTGCAGGTGAGAGCAGTGGGAGTTGCTCATGCCAAGGCAAATGCAGCTTATCTGCAGAGAAGCTATTAAGATTAGGCAAGTCCTTTGGGTTCCAAAGAAATTTAAARAGAGATCTGCAAGAGCAGCTTGCTGGGACGCCTGCAAAGTTGGGAATCCTTTAATACTTCCGCTCTGTGYGGAGGGCTGTCCTTTTGCTCTTTGTATATGGTAAAGATATGACCRTAATTGAAGCAGTTTTCTTCTTGGTTAAAAATCATGTCTTATTTTTAGCAGCTTGATTTTGTGTTATTCTCGGCTTCCAAATTTCATGTCCTTTTATGATATTATTTCTCCCTGTGTAGTCAAGCCAAGGACTCCTTAAGCTCTTTTTCAGTTTTAAAGTGGACTGAGACCTCCCCTMTAAGGTAACTTTTAAAAACTTCTGCAGTTATTCTTTCCAACTTGCAGTCACTTCTAATTCTCTCATACTTTAATATGTAGTGGAAATCAAGCCTTTAATAGCTATTCCAAATAAGCAGTGCAACCCCAAATGGTGCTGAAGTGTGGTTATTGGTGTAATCAGCATTGTTAACTTGTGACCCTTATTAAAACTTGGAAACACCTTTTGAAACCTTATTGATGAAATAGGCAGCACGATTAAATACTTGAGCAGTGTCAGATAAGCCTTTACCCTGCTTTCTTAGCTCTTAAGCAGTGGCAAGATCTGCAGTGTCTGTTTCCAGGCAGAGTGTTACTTGGCTCAGAAATGATCTCTTCCTGACTTCCATTTACTGCTCTTAAGTTGTCTGAGTCTAACGTGGCTTAGATCTGGCTGCCAGGTTTATTTTTTGTGTCTTGGAATTATGCTGCCCTTGCATGGCAGCCTTACTGAAGAGCAGTTCAATCGGTCACTATTGCTCTTGGAGTGGTTTTTTTTTTTTTAATTTCACTTTTAACAGCTCCTACTGTATGAATCCTAATTGTGCATGAAATGATGAATTAGAAATAGTCATAAAATCCAAAGGAATCTAATAAATTTCAAAGGCAGTTATATGCACGCGTTTTATGCCACTGTGACTATGAAGTTTGTCGCTTTGAAGATGTTTGAGTCCTGTTCTTCTAAGGRTTTATACGTTGGTATTTCAGCTATGTCTTTTAGTCCTATGTCTCCTACGTGAAGAAGTTGTGATCCCAGTTCCACTAGAGGGCACCCCTTCCTTCACAATAAGGTTRTATTGATAAACCCATACATGGGTTTTACTGGTGTCAGGGGAATCCATTTTAAATATTAAATTGCACTGAGAAGTGAATAGGTAACTCGTATTTGCACTGTTGCAGACTCTTGCATGTTGAAGTTCAGCTCTTTTCCAGAACTCTTAGCAGTATTGCTCACATTACCAGGGCTTTTTCCAAATCCTGTGTTTGCAAATACAAGTTGGAAGTAGGAAGCCAACTGCAACACCTCTTGCATAGCGTGTTATAGCCACGGGAAGGGTGTTGTGGTCACGCTTACTGAACGGGAGCCTAGAGCAATGCAGTATTGGCACCTCTGGCTGCTGTTTGCCCCTTTGGTCCAGCAAGTTAAACCTCTGCAAAAAATGGCCAGTGCTTCTCACCCACAGTTCTCCCCGTGCAAAAATGTGTGCAGGCCACATCTGGTGCAGGTTTGTGGAAACAGCCCAAATCTGATTTTTACTGATGTTTTAAAAGAGCAATCAGTCCAGCTTTGCTTTTATTCAAAATAAAATATTCAAAGGAGAAACACGAGTTTAGCTGTCTTTCAGGAGACTTCACAAACTCCATATATTTTAGAAGACAGAAAGTATATAATATAACATTATGAGAGAGGAGAAAAGAGCTAGCTTTATGATAGAGGCAGTATTCACTTACAGGAATAACTGTTTCGAAGTCATCTAGGTTGACCTACGACTTCTTTCCGCTGTGTTATTTTTAGTAGTCCAGGTGAAGAGGAATTATCTTTAAGAACTTAAGCTGATATACCTAGTGTTTCTGAGGGATTGAAAAGTAGATGCATTCTGCTTTACAGCTGAACAGGATGGTTTTAGAGTTCTAATTCAAATCCTTGTCTATAAAAAAAGGTGATGTCTTTAAAATTGTATTTTAAAGGAGTATTTTTAACATGCAATTTGAGCAGAGACCGGTAAGTATACTAGAGTACTTAAGCATATCAGTAAATTAAACTCATGAGATTTATCTTATTTTAGGGGGACTCTTAACAGTAGTAGATTCCAGATACCAGAACATTTGCAGGACAAATTGTATAATTAAGAATAATTAGATATTTAAACTAAAACTCTTGGAGCATAGTTTTAATGTTTTATAATGTCACATACGCTCAAGAAGCTGGGCATATGTGAAGTACTGCATGTTCCCATAAATAAATATGCTCAGCAGCTTCTCAAAAGTTCAAAAAAGAAGAATCCTGCTTAAGGTAAATGTTGAATGTTACAGTGAGTGTAAAAAGTGAATTTGACTTTTTCCTGGAGTGTTTTCTTTAGCTCTCTTCAGAATAACTCTTTGGCTTCATCTTCATGCAGGAACACTTGCTTTATGAATAGCTAGTCTGCTCATGCTTCTTACTTTAAAATTTTTGGTGAAGTGAACAGAAAGTCTGTAAAAATAATAATTATACTGCCCAATTGTGACAACATTTTCCAGGTATGGGTACTTTTTTCCTAGAGTCTCTTAAATCCAGGTCTGGTTAGTCMAGTAGCAAATGAAGAGCACCTACACAAAGCCAAGTTTGAGCCTTCCATGGTAATTTTCATGTTCTCCTTAATGTACTAACCTGCAGTTTTTATTTTAAAATAGTCTTGGGGTGAGAATAGCAGCTACCCAGTGGTAAAATGTGTCATTCCCGGTCACCTGTGCACACAGATGTGTTTTGGGCTACATTGSCAACTTTTCTAGGACTAAATCTCACAAGATTAACTGGCAAAACTTCCTTTTTCCTTTCAGTAGAGTAGTGTCCATATTGCTCTTGTTCTGCAGTGCTGTGAAGAGTCCTGAGGAACATCTCCCCCGTGATAATTTTCCTGTTAAACCTTAGAATATTGCAATATGCTTGTACCTTATTGTATTATTTTGCCTTGGGCTTATTATGTGCACAATTRTCATTGAGGCCGACTTGCATTTTTTCCATTCTTAGTTCACAGTGCTGTGGTAAACAGTCTTTCCTTTCAYCCCTCTGGAAATTATCTGGTTACTGCTTCCAATGATTCAACTCTGAAAATTCTGGATTTGCTCGAAGGACGACTTCTGTACACRCTCCATGGTCACCAGGTGAGGAAAACACAGCAATGGACAAACCCGTAACATATTAAACTGATTTGTGACCGATTCTTAGATTTCTTCATGAGTCTTTTGAAAGATTCTCTGTGTAAAATAATGGGAACTTTTGGAATCAGCATTGTTTTGGAGGGCAGGAGAATGGGGATGGAGGGAGATAAGGCAGGAATGGAGAAGATGATGAAACGAGACAAAGTTCCTGTGTTTCACCAGGCAAGTCTAAGGCTTAAGGCAAGTTGTCAGTGCTGTTCCCCAGGTCCTGTGTCCCTGGGCCAGTCCTGCAGTCTCTGTTCTTCTGGTCTAACTCTCTCCCCTTCTCTAGAGCACCTCAAATAGCACTTGGCTTCCTGACCAGGATGCTGTAAAAGTCAATTCAATTCATGTGGCAGACAGCTAAAGCAGGGGTAGTAAAATGGAGAAAACGTATTTTGGGGTGTGCTTTGGGAACACCTTCCCATTTCTGTTTATTCACTCAGTTGAAAGTTATAGATGTTGCTGTTTGGTTATGTTTAACTGATTGACCTATTAGTCCCATGCTACTGGATGTGTTGCCTGTGAGGCTGGTCATTATATGAATGCCTGGAGCTGCTCTTTTTGATGTTAGATGTAAACAAATACTTCATTTCTTTGGGTATGCTGAGTGGGTCTCAAAGGCATGGAAAAGGCAGACCTATTTTAAAGGCTTTCCCTTTTTATTAATTAATTTTTTTTTTTTTATTGTAAGCAATGAAACAAATTCTTAAGCCACTGGTCACTGTGAAGTTGTGGCTGAGCCTTAAAATGCCAAAAGCTGGGAAAATCCCAGCCGGGACCTGCTTGGGGCCGGGGAGGGCAGGCAAATTCTAGGCAATAACAGGAGCTCCATAAGCTGCAAAACTTAAAATATATAAGGCAACAAGGTGACAATAAATAAGGCAACAAAGTCCTTTTTGGGCAACTGCTGTGCTAGGGCTGGTACTTGAACCAAGTAATTGTTTCTTGATTCATCTGCTTAGACACTGGGTTAAAACTGCATGGGTCTTGACTACTTCTGAGATGCTTATCACCTCATCCTGGTGATAATGCTTATCACCTCATCCTGGTCACCTAACAGGCATTGGAAATGGCACGGGCGCAACTGCACGGTGGTGTGTTGTGGATTTACAGCTCCTCCTAGGAAACAAATGGAGGTGCAGGAGTGGCTGGTAGGGCTTTCCAGTGCTCTGCAGGGACGTTGTATGAGGTTAAGTTGGCTGTGGAAGCAGCCCTGGCAGAGCCCTGCAACTGCTTCTGCTCTACCACGTGCTGTATTGTTATAGGATTTTATATTTTTAATGCCTGATTTAACAGGTCCTGTTCCCACTGCGCTGCCTTCCCTGAGATACCAACGTGCGGTGACACTGGGCGCCGCTTCCATGAGAAGCTGCTGGGTAGATGCTGTTGAAGGCTCCTCTTCTATCCAGCCTGCTCGGCCAGTGGCTAAACCGAGTCTGATACTGAGGGCTTTTTTTGGGCCAGTCTCGCTGTGATTTCTGCCAGTAACCCAAGTGGCTAAAAGTGAGGTGAGAGGGGCTTTCTTGGCCATGAAGGAGATTGCCTTTTTTTGGTGAGGGCCATAGGATTGTCAGTCACTGACCTCAAGTGGTGCGTTTGTGTGGGCAAACGGTGCTGCAGCCTTGTTCTGTCCAGTATGAGGGGACTCTTGAAGGAAAAAAGCCTGGAGGTCCTTTGGACAAGTGATGCAACTGCTGGAGTGCCAGGAATTTGTCACCAGCTGGTGAGGGACAGTTTACTTTGGGAATGGGGCCAGGTTTACATTGCTGAGTCTAACTGCAGTGGGGCTGGCCCCCTTGCAGCARGAGAGCTGCTGGAAAGGGTGGTTTGCAGCACGGAGCTGACATCTCACAGCTGCAAAATGTCATGCTGTGCAGAGCTGCAGGGTTTCGCTCCCGAGTGCCTCAAGTGCTGCTGGATCATTCCCTGCGGATGAGACACGGCGCTGGAATGAAGGGCCACCTTGGGGCTGAGTCATCCCGGAACGGAATGTCTTGGCGCCCCTAAATCACCTCCGGAGAGCTCTCAGTGCAGAGCAGGGATCCCATGTCCCTCTGCCCTTGGGAGTGCCCCGGGAGAGCGTTTCCAGGCAGCTTCCTTAAGGGCATGGAAGCTCTCAGTAAATATTTGGAAAACATCCGCGTGGTTGTGTTTGTAAATAGGAAGCAGAAAGGGCCGAGTTGGGAATCTCTGAGCAACCTTAGCCTGTGTCATGAGGAGCTGCATTCCACTCGCCTGCATGGTGGAAGTGCTCTCTGCTGTGCTGATGAGACAGAGCAACAAACATCCCTGACTGTCTTATTCCTTTTCCCCTCTCTCCTTTCCCCCCATCTCTTTCTAAAATTTGGCTTTTCCAGTCTGGTGCAGCTTCTGCAGGATCTTGCATCTTGTGTGAGATGGTTGAACAAGCTGTGTTGGCCTTGTCACCCTTCCTCTCCCTTATTCTTCTTCCTGACTCAGTCCTCATCCCAGAAGGTCTCTTAATTTCAATTAGTCTTCACTGAGCTGCTCTCTCTGCCCCTGTAACCAAGGGAAGATGCCCTTGTTCTTGGTACCTTGCTTATCGTGTTATTTGTCTCTACTAAGCAAATATTCATTTGTATCTCCAAGAACTTAAGCCTGCCAGCATCCTTGACCCCACTTCATAGAATCATAGAATCATAGAATCATAGAATGCCGAAGGTTGGAAGGGACCTCAGAGGTCATCGAGTCCAACCCCCCTGCTCACGCAGGGTCACCTAGAGCACGTGGCACTTCTCTCTAAGTACCTTCATCTCTGCCTTTCTTTTCATTTATTGAATGTGCATCCTTAAACTTAGGGTTTGTTTTTGGACCCAGCCTGGCTCTCGAGTCTTCTGTGACACCAAAGGCTCAGCTTGCTCCCAGGCTGAAGCTCGGAGGTCRTCTGCCCTTGGCTTGACGCGGCTCTTGAAGGTGCTGACCCTGCAGGTCGTCTCTGTCTCCTGGTGCTCGGCACTTGCTCCAGCTCTCATCCCCTGGCCGTCTGATCTCATCCAGATCCTTCTCAGTGGGAACTGCACTGCAGAGAGTTAGGTTTGACTGTGGTAAAACTCCTTTTCTAGCTTTTGTCTCTCCGTTTCCTTGTGTTCAATATTATTTGTCCTCCCAAGGCACCTTGGGCTTGTCTCCACCCGACCTGTTCTTTCCCTGGGGGAGATGAGTTGCATCCTGATTAGTCAGGATGTTCTTTCCACTCAGTTTCCCCAATGCATGACTTGCTCTTTACTTTCCCTCTGACTTGCCAGAGTCATCTCCTAGTATCACCGAAACTACAGTTGTTCTTCCAGACTGGGGTGCACAAAGGCTCAGCACTTTCATGCTGCCTTGGTATCTCACTGTCCAACCTCTTCTCTCTGAGCGGTTGGAATAACAAACCTAAAATTCTCCCTACAGCTTTGAGATAAGAATATGCAGTCACCTCTTTGACAATATTTTAAATATGAAATAGTAGCCTTAAAAATATATAGATACTGAAGAAGGCTTTGAATTCTTCAGGCTCCAAATATGTATCTGTTGCTCAGGACTTTGTCACAGATGTGTCAAGTCTCTGCCATGCTTACCTAGCAGGAATGCAACTTGGGCTGTGTCTAGTCACTGGCATGTGTGGCTTCCCTTTTTGCTTTGGGTGTTTATAATAAAATCCCAGAGCATTTGGCAAACAGTTATTTGTGTGTTGCCATAGCAAACCTGTTATATCCGGGAGGAGYGCTGTGCGTGTACGTAGCAAGAAGCCTTTTTGCCTAATTTATGTCAACAAATCCATAGAGGATGTTGTGTCTATTGACTTGTTTGTTCCCATTCTATCAATTTCTGGAGGCACATTCCACCTTGGATACCCTTTTCTATTTTGGGAGGAATATGTTCTGCGAGCCTCTTTCCCCCAGCCTCGCTTCTCCTCCGTTCAGAATGTCCTGCCTGGGGAGTCTCTTCATGGCCTGTTTTGATGCGATTTGTAAATTGTGCTAAATTTTGTCTAAATACCCAGAAATGTTTAGAGAAGGCTGATGAAATCCTTTTGCAAAACACCGCTGTTCTCTCGTGTTCCTCCCTTGTGCTCATTCCTGAACATTTTGTCTCCAACAGCATCTCGACTGGTTCCTTCCCCCTGCCCTGACCCTTCTGGGTTTATCACAGCCCAAATGCAGCTTCCATATCCTCAAGAAGCAGCTCTTTCCAGTGCAGTATTTGGTACCCTGATGCTGCACGGGTGCTTTGAGTCAGGCCTTTCTGCTGCATTTCCCTCTTCATTGAGAAATTTTCATCTTTCAGCCATATTCAGTGAAGATTTCTAGGCTTATGTACTTACTGGTGTCCTTTCTCCATACCCATACCACTTTTCCATTTTATTTTCCAGAGTCTCTGTTAGTAACAGTGTGAGTGTGAGATTAAAGCGAGCTATCCTGTACTGGGATGGTCTGTGCCRTTAGAATGCCACAAACGTTTTGGAATCACATGGGAATATTGGAAAAGGGAGGCTGTAATTCCTCAAATGCGACACGAGCACTTTGAGACTCCAGCGCCAGCTGCACCTCACGATGTTGACTGCATCCCTCTCCTCCATCCYTGTTTCTTCCTGGGTACTTGCTTCAGGATTGGAAATGTGTTAAATGAGATGTGTGCTGTGAAACGTCTGCTTCTGCTCAGCCACCACTTCAGAGAAAGAACAGATGAGAGTGTTTAAAGTCTCCCAGAATTGTTTGTTTTAGCACGAGGCTTCTTCTAAGTGCGAGGTCTGGGCTACAGGGAGCCGGTCACGGATGCCTTCGTTCTGGCATCTCTTCTGTAAAGCTACTGCTAAGAGAAAAGCAGATTTAAACCTGACAGCTGACATAAGTCTACGCAGATTGTTAAGCTGTTGCTTAAGCGGCAACAGAACAAGGAGGCTGAAGCTGTAAAATTGGGTTTGTTCCTCTCTGTGTTAATGCCATGAATATTGCAAGGCGAGGTATCCTAAACTCTGTGAAAAAATATGGGAACCAGCAACCTCAGTGTCTGCAGGAATGCTAATTGCAGGCCATTTACCTGGCAGTTAAGAGCTMTTCACATGTTGCCTTTAGACTGCAGATGTCAAGAGGAGCAGCTTGTAAAGCTGTAATAAAGAAACCAGGAACCAGGCTTTATAACAATTATATATTCTAACTCATTCCTTGCATTTATTTGCAGGGACCAGCCACCTGTGTGGCGTTCTCAAGAACTGGAGACTTCTTTGCTTCTGGGGGCTCTGATGAGCAGGTAGGTGACTGGATTTTTTGGATAAACATGTGCCATGTTCTCACTCATTTCTTGTAACAGCTGTGCTAGTGAACCCAGACATGTTGATGCTTCTMAGAAAAGAGCAATTGTTTAAAAAATGGTGAGGAGTATTAAACATAGGTGTTTCTCTGACTGAAGAAGCTTGTAAGCTGAGTAGTTTGGGAGTGAGGTATGTAAAACAAGGGCAATAATACTATGTATATGTGTGTGCATACACATACATGTACACATACTATATATATATATATATACACCTCATTTTTTTGCATACTTTTCTGAGGCATCTGCTGCTGGGCAGCAGACTAGGCTGCTGTAAAAATGGCTGTGTTGAGTCAGCCTGGAGATCAGTGGAGCCCAGGATTGTCTCTGGCATCTGCCGCKGGATAGTTCTGAGGGAAACGTGTAAAGACTTGCATTTCTTTATAAAAGCTCTTGGGTTTTATTTTCTTGTTGTCAGTGAGGTGAAGCAAAAACATATCCGCTTGTTGCTGTGCCATCCTGAAGTGCCTTGCTGTGCYCTTCATAGCTGGTGACAGTTTTAAGAGCTGTTACTTCTTAATTCCTTTTTATAGAAAGGAATTTCTGCTAAGAAAGATGACATCGCATGCTGTGCTGTCTCTTCAAGACCACTTTTCATTTAGGCTTTTAAAACAAGAGCGAGAGAGAAGCATCTTGGGTTTTTTTGTCTTATAAAATTATATTGGGGTCACTTCATTAAGATTAGCACTTGAAATGCTTATCTAACACAAGAAATAAATGTGCCTTTTGCTGCTGTTTCATTCCCCCTCAAGAGCCATGATGGTGCTAGAAGCTGCATTTATATAGCAATTTATTGGTATTTATTCCCTATAGGAAAAAGAACTGGTTTGGAATACTGAATTTTATATCCAGCTCTGATAGCCCAAAAGGTGACTTTGGGTTTCTAGCATAGGTATATGAGCTAGCCTACTTGTCTCCATTGCATAAAAGGCATTCCTTTAAAAAGCTTTTATTTTATCCAATCCTTCTTTTGCTTCCCAGTGGAATGGATAAACGTGCAAATACAAAAGAAAAATTCCTGTGTGTTTCACAGAAGGAAAGCACAAAACCTGCTGTCTATCTCAAGCAAATGTTGATGTTTCTTACAACTAAAACAAGCTGCTCAGTTTCATAAATGTCTTTTGAATTTGCTCTTGGTATGTTGAAATGGTTAATATAGTAGAGGGATCCTGGTTCTATCTCCTCATTTCTTCTAAGACAGAAATTCTAAACGCAAATTCTGTTACATTAGGGAGAGGTAACTACCTGTTTATGTTGGTAGGATTTACTTTTGGTACTAGTTGGCAAAATAGCTGAAGATCTCTAGTACAAGTTTCAAAGTCCTAATCCCTGCTTTCTCTGAGAAGGAATCTCTTGGAGAAGAAAAACAAAGCAGTAGCTGTTTGGTGTGTGACTCACAAGTGCTATAATGCAGAACATGATAATTTAATATACTTGGGGCTTGATGATATATTCCTCATGTGGCTTTGAAGCTCTCTAGGTAGCATTAGGGCCATGATATTCCTGACCAAAGGAATGTTGGAAGAGGTCACTTACTTGCTGAGAACTCAGTTGTGCYACGTCTTTGTTCAGCAACATATTTACAAGCAACGACCTTTAGTTCCTGAGCTGGAACATCTTGCCCTGGAAGGCTGTGGAGTCTCCATCCTTGGACAACTTCAGAAGCTGTCTAGACCGTCCTGGGCGACCTGCTCTAGGTGGCTGACCCTGCCTGAGCAGGGGATTGGACTAGATATTCAGAGGTCTCCTCCAGCCTCAACTTCTCGCTGGTTCCATCAGTGGTGCAGCTGCCTTTGGCGGGCTTTTGTGTGCTTTTCCTGTCACTGGTAGGGTGACAATATTGAACTTTCAAAGTAGACTCAAAGCTTTGATCCAYTGAACTTAGCAGCGTTTCTTTGTTCTGCAGGTGATGGTGTGGAAGACCAACTTTGATGCAGCAGATTATGGCGATGTGCTGAAAACCCAGAAATCTGGCACTAGCGTGGATGGAACCCATCACAGTCAGGTAGGTCAGTGTAACTTCAGTGGTGCTGACACTTCAACTTCCACGGCTTGTTTGCTGCTACAGTAGTGCAAGGATTTACCTATTAAGAGTCCCTGTCCTGGAAGTTTTCTAAAACACACAAAATGTGATTATTTCGGGTAGTCAAACTRCAGAGCCTTCTTATTCTTTGGTATTGATTTGAGTTGTAGGASATCTGTTACTACTCAATTTCCTATTGTCTGTGGTTTTTTGTAAGGTAAGCATGATTAAAGAAAATTGTGTGTAATGATATGTCAGAAAAGGAGAAAACATATAGTGCATATGTGTATGTGTGTGTATATATATGCATTTTTCACTGTGTTGAAGGATTTATTGTAAGCTTGGACAATACATTGGGAAGCCCAGCCGTTAGTAACGACTGAAGTCAGTTTTGAAATGAATCATTTGTGCTCTCAGTCTTGAAAATAGATGTTTTTCCAAATACTTTTTCATTAATGTCTAGCAGAGGTGCAACATCTGTGCTGAGACTAAAGGTAAGTTAGAAATAGGTGGCATAGGGTATCATGATTATTGCAACAGCTTGACAGTTGAAGATTAATGGCTTTCTGAGTTAAAATTTTTGCACTTAGGGATACTTCATTATTTTTTTGTGTCTTGTCATACCACTCCTTGGACTTCTGAAATGTTTGTGTCTACCTGTAGGGTTCTAGGATATGTTGTTACCAGCAGCTGTGTTTTGGCACGCCTACTTAAATGAGCGGTAAGCTCAAAATGAGATTGTGAGCTAGGAGGTTTATTAATCTGTGCATAAACCATTACCTTAATTGAAAGGTAAGCTTCTGTGTGACCTCTGTTGCTCTGTGATAGTATCCATAATCCTATTACCTTAGCTCTTCTTTACTGGACTACAGAATATGTTCTATGTCAAGAGAAGCTGTGAAAACAGAGAAGGCACATGCTGGGTGAGGAGGAGAGGAAAATTAGAAAGCAATCATAAAAAGAGGATAAAAGGGAAAATTTGATAGTGGTCCTCGGCTAGCTTTGGCTAAAAGACCTTCTTTCCCTCTTCTCCTGTATTCTAAGCTTCAAATTTTGCAGGCCATGAAAGCAGTGACATCTTTGTTTCTTAGTCCATTGAGCCGGTCTAACTTTGAAATTTCTCTGCTTTAATTTCAGATATTCTGCATAGTATAATTCTGGGCTGAAATGTAGCAAAGACAGGGAAAGCCTTTTATGGAAGAAATAACATTTTCAGTACGTAGTATTCCTAGCAATAGCATAAGTAGTGTTGACAAGACAGCCTCTAGTACAGCACTGTAATAGGATTACCCCAATTTGTACAGCAGTYGTTATCAGAACAATTTATTCAATGGTAATATAAGGAAGGGAAAGAAATGCCTTCTCTTTTACAATTTAGCTCGCTTTAGCAGGGAGCAAGAAGTTCATTGAAGATAACTTTTGAACAAAACTCTTGAATACTGACTTCCCCACCCACACATCTGTCCTTCCCAAACAGCTGCGTTCCCCTGTGGAAAACAGCTTCCTTGGCAAGTGTCCCGTGGCTGCTCATGGGGTCAACTGTGTGTAGCTGTGTGCTGCAGAGAAGCGAGTCCGTGTCATGTGTCACTGATTGATGAGGATTTGCTCTTCTTGTGTTTTGAGCCCACGGGAAACTGAGAAGTGCAAATTCCAAGGAACGTAGTAAGTTGGGTTGGGCCTGACACTGTGTTTTTGCAGAGGACAGAGTGAATCCATGTTGAAGCACCCAGAAGAGGCCTACTTGGGTCTGGGGACCTAAATTACTTCAAAGCAGGGTTTGAACTGRCGCCCAAATACCACCTTGGGCTTGGGCACGCAGTATGGGAGCTGCTTTTCCCAATGGTAGCACCTGATTAAAGCATGCGGGCAAAATTCATGTTTTACATGCAACTTCTGGAAGATCCAGCTGAGAGTGATAGTTGCTGGGCTTCTTCCTGCACGTTTATTGTTGGAGCAAACGTGGTATTACACTTTGGTGTGAACAGTACGAAGGCTGCTCTTGCAATTCAGCTATGAGCACAAATGGAGCCCTATGCATTAAACCTGTCTTCAGCAGCAAAATTGTCCCTGGTTAAATAGCAGTGGTGGAGGTAGCAGTGGCAGAAAGAAGGTGGTAGCTGGCACAACTGAARCACGTCACCGGCTGGTATAGCTCAACAGGGTGATCTTTTCTGTGTGGTTGCTCTTCCTTTTGGGGTTAGGAACACTTTTGTTTTGCCTTGGAACTACGGTACAGCTCTGTCCCTCTATGAAGAAGTGGAGTTTTAATTCATGTTCCTTGTGCTACACAGTGGGCTCTGTGCTGTCATAATCAAGATAATGTTAATTTGGGGGAGGCATCAGCTGTACTGTGGCTGTCTGCTACAAGAATCATCATCAAGCATGTAAAAGCAAGGCCTATTATAGGGCTAATGAGAACCTGGAAATGCAAAGCAAGATGGTCCTCCTTGTGTTTGARTTAATTAAGAATGCAATGCTCCAATTAAACCATTTTTAATATAGAATTAGGAGAGAAAGACACAGTGAGCAGTGTAGTCTAAGGGCTTGCATGGAATTCCAGCAATTAAGTTTAACAATGAAGAACACTTCACATAAATTCTGAAAAGAGGCTAATAGCTCTGAAAATGGCTTGGCTTCTTATTTTCAGGAATGTCCCTATATATCTGACTTGGCCTCCGTAATAAAATGTCCATTCATGGCATTTTTTCTTTGATGTAAAATACTTTGGCTTTTATCTTTAGAAATATGTTATTCTAGGCTTCTTTWAACAAGCACCCTCCCTGCTACAACCACTGCAAGACTTCCTTCACTAYATAGCCCTCTTCAGAAGGGACTCACTTTGTTTTAAGCAAAGTCTGTGTTTTAAGAAGTGAGGTACTTAGCCACCCAAATCCTCCTGCATGAAGTCAGTGTTTTCTCCTGCTTCTCTCCCCTCAAAATCAGAGTGTGAACTGCAGATCTGTGGTTTTGGATTCGCACTGAGGTCGCCTTTTCCGTCGGTGGGAAGAGAAGAAATTGCTTCATCTCTTCTGCCCTTACCATGATGCTGTGCCAAATTCTGCTGCTTAAATAAGACTGAGACTTGACAGACATCCTTTTAAATAGACTTATTTGCAGCAATAGGTGTGAGCTTGCAAGTTGCTCTGCCCACCTGGCTCGTGTTCTCCGTAAATCTGAGGTATGGGAGGTTCACTATTAGATCTGCACATCCTCTTAGCATTTAGGTGCTGGCTTTGATGTAGGTGGAGTAGATTCACCTGTTAAGCTGAAACATTGAGACACGAGAAACACTTAAAAGAAATCRGGATATAAAGTATAGATTTTGCGTGAGATTTCATCTATATGTAGTAATATGTACAATAATTCTGGGTGAAGCTAAAGGTCCCTGTGAATCTATAGGATTAGATCAAAGTATATTTTGACAAGATATCAGATCCATGAACGTTTCCTTGGGTTATATAATCTTTACTCCCACGGTGTCATCTTTCCAGAGTAGCCACATTTTATTTTGGGGTTATTGTGATGGATTTTTTCCCCTCCCTCAAATMCGAAGAAAATTTTCTACACTCGTGAGAGTCTCTACTGCCATGCGTGTACGAGAGCACTTATTTCATTAGATTTGCTGCTATTGTTTGACTAATTCCAAGAAGACTATGTATGGTAAAGTCTTATGAAGAAATGCTGAACAGCTGATGTCACATCAACAGTTAGACATTTAGAAAGTGCCTGGGTGTTTATCTAAATCTCCTCTGAAAAGGTGAAATTAAAGGGCGTTTGAGTCAAGTTGTGTATAGTGGAATAGAATTGTTCATGTAATATTATGGAAAATAGGAAATATAATTGATGTGGAGACTCCTTGTGTGTTTAGATATAGGCTGTCTTTAGGCACGTTGTAGCTCCTCGTCGCACTGCAAAGAACGAGGCCGCTAAGGAGACTTTCAATGGAAGGCTCTGAAGGCTGCAGGTCTCTTCTTGSTGTTGCATTTAGCTTTCAGAAAGCTGCTCAGGGGGCAGTGCCTCAGAAGCAGGACCCTCTTCAATGGAGGGGACCTTGAGATGTCCCAAAGGCAGCGAAGGACCCGGATTTCAAGGTGGATCCTGGTGAGAGAGGCAATAGGTGCAGCAGGAGACGGCCTTACAGGAGATGATGGTGAAGTCTGTGTCTCTTGTCACTTCCGTTGTGGATTTTGCAGCCATTTAACCCCAAAACACACTKTTACCTGGGTGCAACGTTAGCTTTTCTGAGAGAAGTCTTATTCGTGCAGCTTTTGGCTTAAGCCATGGGATTGAACTGGGAGTTACCTAGTTTAGGATGATACTGCTTAGTTTACAGCTCCTGGGGGGAATCTGAGACCTACTYGTGTGAGTTGGAAACAAGAAAGCAGGGACATGCCTTGGTATTCCAGGGGATTGGCTTGGGAAACTGAAACCAGAGTCTGAATAATTATCAACTGTAATGAATTCTTGAAGAAAGGGGYGATGTGCCCTTTGCTGTCTCAGCACACTTTCATATAACTTCGGTGTTGTTTATATTCTCTGGGAGCTACTTTTTCTTTGAAAAGAAATTGCTGTAAAAAGTGTTCTCAGAACCACAGTAAATCACAAATTAACTCTTCTCGAAGAAGAGGAGGCCGAAGAGCAACAGTCAAGGTCTACTGAGGAGTCCCTGACCTTGCACGACCAAATCAACCTGTTCTCTTTGCTCCCTGGGCCTCGTGCTTTGGGACCTGGGGTGCCCTCCGTGCTCAGCCCGTGTCCCTGTGCTGGCTGTAGTGCTTCGCCCTCCTCCTCCTCCTCCTCTGCGTAAGTAAATTCCTCCAGAATTACTCATATGCCAGATGTGCTCTTTCATTTTTTGACCTTTGGGCTTCCAAATCAGTTACTGTCTCTAATTTTGGTAGTATCCATTAATGCTTATGAATGCTTTTGTGGGTTTTTTTTCCCTTTACTTTCTGTGAAAGCCTCTCCTTGGAAGGCAGTTG